AGACTCACATTCTGTTTTCCTGTTTACAGTTCCTAAACTCTTAAATTATTTTATTCATGTGTTTCTACCAGTCTCGAGGATGTCTTTGAAAGCTGTACTATCTTAAATCCTTTTAGCTTGGTAAATTAGTCCTCTTCATTAGACCATGCTAATATTTATTGTCATCATGCACATTATTCCACCTATCTAAAAAAATGGTATTCTCAGTAGGTGTAACATGTTTGAAAAGCAGAACTATTTAGTGCCTTAGGGGGGTATCCACCTGACATCTTTCAGAGAGGAAAGCTGACCCTTACATTGCAGAGAAGTATCATCCTTTCATGAATGGCAGAATTCTGTGGAAGTGACTGGAGATGTTACCAGCACCTCCTTGTCATTGCATTTCTTTCATAGGTGGCCACCCCCAGATCTGGCTTCAGCTGAAGGGCTTCTGTGAGTGCTTTCTAATCCATCTCAAGCAAAATAAGCCAGATGAACTCAACTGCTCTACCCAAATTGGCACAGCTGATTTGCCCTAAGCAGATCAGAGGCCATTCTTAAAAGCAGCTCTGGCAGTGGAGCTGTTGAATGATACCTTCTGGCTGAAGAGTAGCAGGGTGGGTGGCAATGTTTTCTGTTGCCACAGCTATTCACTAAATGAAACTCTATCCTCTAACTTTCACATGATCCTAACAGAAGATAAATCATTCAGGATTTCTATGTGCAGCACTTACTTATGTTATGTGAATTTTCCACCAGTTATGTAAGTAGGGTTTTAATTGGATTAAACTGTGCCTCTCTGTATCAAACTCTGTAGTTCAGAAACATGGATGACAAACCCCCTGTTCCTAACCAAAAGAACTGACCTATATTTGGAAATATCAAGAAAGTATTTCTGTGGGAGCTTGTGACCAGCAACTAGTTGATGATTCACACAGTTTTTCATAATCATATTTTTTTATTCATATAAGTATACAAAGCAGTCAGAGAAAAGTATTGAAATTAACTTTTCTTACCTATATCTGCTCTTTTAAGACAAAGAGAAAGTTTCTGTGAGTTTTGGTGAAATCCAGTTAACCGAGGTGCTCCTGCAAATAGCCTGAAAGAGACTGGTTTGCAACTTTTGCCTCAGGCAGCTGCAGATTAATAATTTCTCTTCCCTTTTTTCAACTGGTCCTTTTGGCTCCTTAGGTGCTTTTTGCTCTGTGTTAGTAAGAGAGCTTAGTAAAGTGTCATTTGTGATGGAGCCTGAAAGTTGGTAATTGTCTTCCAAGTTCATTCATTGCTCTTCCATGTCTGAGCTATTGTAGTCTAATGCTTGTTTTTCCTATAATTAAATCTGAAATTGAACTAGTGCCTTTCTGCATCCTAGTAGCTTAATAAAGCTACACATTGACTCTCCTAGCAGTCATAGTCAATTCATAACAGGTTAATTCCATGTTCCAAATGCACATATATTTCCAAAATGTCTTGAGCTGATAGCTGGGGTCAGCCAACCTTTCATGCTCTGTGCCACTCAGGTGATCTGGCTTCTTAACTTGATGGCTAGTTTGGTAGAAGTATCCAACAATCATTACTTAAAATGCTGACAAGTTTTCAGTTCCTATCTAAGGTAAGTGTATCTGAGTCATTTGAAGTGAGGTATATGCACAGAATCGCTTCAAGGAATTATTTATTCTACAGTAATGGATTCTTTGAGATGTATTGTCTACATGGGTACCACCATCAGTACTCCTTGTCTGCTACCATTTGACCTCTAAGAAACAATTCACGTGCCTAAACAGAGATGTCTAGACCAATTTGGACACTCCAGATACCCTTTCTGACCTCTAGCTACTTTCCCAGAAAGACCCAGGTTTCCAGTAAGTTGTGTGTCACGTCTGTCAGCCCTTGTGGTCACCTTGAATATCCTACTGTGTCTAAAATGGCCATGTATGTCTGTGTTTAGACAACTGAATATCTTCCCTTCTTTTCACAGAATCTGCTTTTAAGCACCCCGCATGTGACGCTACTTTTTAAAGTAACTACAGTTATTTCTGAAAAGTAAACATCTTTTAGAGACTGTCAGTCTGCCTAGAAAATTAATATTCTTAGCTAAATTCTTTTGCACATAATAGTTTAGATTGATTTTTTTTTAAGATCATTTATGTTTTGTAAATACTTCTCAAAAGAATTTATATGGTTATCCTTTCCCATTTGCAACCCCCAAATAAATCATTAGGGGAAAATGAATATAGAGAATTTGTTTTTTATTCCTTCACTTTTCCCACCCAGGGGAAAATCCCATGATTTTTAGTGATTAGTTTCAAAACAGTTACATGAAAGTAATTATATAAAATTTCAGTAAATGTTCCACATTGAGTTGAAAAACTTTGCCATTCTGGATGTAATCTTCCATGACTGCATGTATCTTCATCTAGAACTGGACTGTAATTCTACAGCCAGAGGTATTTTCTAGACATTTTTAATATTTATACCCTTTATGACCTTACAGCTTTGCTTCTACTACCTAGCAGGAAATTTTGCAAAAATTAAATGAGGCCATTTGGGGTGGCGGGGTCTTTATTTTACATTATTTCTTATGAAATCCCTGATTTCATTCTTGCTGGCTTTGAAACTTAATTATGAAACAGAGCATAGATGAGCTTGTATGTAGAATGAGGAGAGGAGAGGCAAACTACTTTGTATCACATCTTAAGTATCTTAAAAATACTGCTCAGATCAGAAATATATTCTTTATCAAGGTTAGGAAAGACAAGAAGTGTATGGTCAGTGCAAATGCCAGAACATGTATTTTGTATTCTTTCTGCTTTTGTCTCATGCTTGGGGAAACTGAATTGTTACTTAGGCAAATCCTTCCTTCCAAATACAAGTGTTGAAATTGTTGAACAACATCTCCTTTTAGAAACAGCATTCTAAAAATCATCCATTATTTTTCAAGTCTCTTTTGCCTTGACAATTAGTAAGTTTTGTTCCCAGTTGGTGGAGGACTTTGTCATTCCTTCTTTGCATTTGATGTGTGAAATATCAGGAGTGGAACAATTAACAAGGTTTCATTAGAGTCTTCAACAAAAGGATATGGTTTCAAGAGCTCATCTGTCACATTCATATTGCTTTGCACTGATTTTGATTATTAAGCGTCACCAAATTTTCCTCTTCTATTACTCTTCCCTGCTGTACTACATTGTCAAATTAACATGTACTTTCTGAGCACAGCCACAGCCCACTCAACTGCTAGCTTTCTCCTGCAAGAAGAGATTACCACAGAATTTCTCAATGCAATTATATGTGATCTTTCTGCAAAATTACATTTTTGCATCAATTTCCATTCATTTCTCAGAATTTCTTACAAAAGATTGCTTGAGTGTTGCAAAGAAATACTGGGGTTTTTTTCTTTTTGCTGCACGGTAGAGTTGAAATATTCTAGTAGAATTTTAACTTGAACACGGATGTTGAATTAGTCCAGTGTTTCACCTGGGGGATGTTGAACATTATTTTATCTGCCTGAAATTTTTAGTCCATAAACATGGTAACATGTTTGTTAGTTTTCTGAGGGATTCTTATTTTGATGAGCAGGTATAAGGTAGATTCTTGTGCTGTAAAATGTGATGGTTCATGAGAGGCTGTCTGTCATTAAGACGTCTAGGAACCACGCCTTATATAGTCACATAGAAAGAAATTCTCATGGAAACGGCATTATGGAGGTGGCAGCTGCAGCTCTATATTTTTGTCTAGGTTGAATTTTGCAGTTAAAGATTAACCCTTTATGTGATCTATCTGAAAATTACATTTATGTCCCCCTCAAACACAAAATATACTCTACAAGTATCAAAACAAATTTCTGAAAATTTACAGGAGAGTCAATACATCTCTATAAGAGTTAAAATTAACTCTGTTTGCACCAGATTACACTCCTATTGCTGAAATTTTGGGCAAGAACTATATTTGTATATTATAATGTGCTTAGAATTAGCAGTAATTACCAACTAATATCCTTCCTCACTGAAAGCTTTTTTCTTCATTAGAGGCTGGCAAGCAATATTCAGAAAACTCCATACGGAACTATCTTTCCCCTGAAATCTTTCTCATCTTTTGCAGTTCCTGATGGCTCATTGTGAAACAGATGAGTAAAATGTGGACAGTGAAACTACCAAGAAGGTAGCGATAGTGAGGCAGTAAAATCCTTCAGCACACAGTCAAGTGCAGACTGCGATGTTAAGGAATTGAATTGGCAGTAATGAAACTACTAAGAGCTAACACATAATCCACAGAGGCTTTTACTGTGATTTCTAAGGGACTGTACGGCTTTGAGAAGCTGGTAATGTTGGAACCTGGGCACAGAGCCTGGAGACCACCGACACCAACCTTGCAAACCACCTTCTGGTGGTTTCTTTAGATTTAGGAGGAAGCAGAAGGAGAAACAGCAATCTGGCTGGACACTGTTGCTCCTTTTCTGTGTTGTTGCCGGTGACAGTAGAAGCCTGCATCCTTCATTAGTTGCTTAGTAATTGTGTTGTTATATCTCCCACACAGGTCCATGGTACCTTGCTATAACATTTACTAGAGTGAGAAAACATTGCACTGCCTCATCAAAGATATCTGCAGCCAACATACTGCCATCAAAGAGCTGGAGCTTGGTCAGAGCACCATGTTGTTTGCTGTGTGAAATAATGCCTTCCTGAATATTGCGACTTCAGTTTTTAAATACTATGAATTTTCTGTCTTACACCTTTTCTTGCTGATCATCCCATTTTAAAAGCAATCTTTACCATGCAAATAAGACGACTTCTTTGCTTACCATCCTTCTATGAGAGGGTACTCTCCAAATATTACTCAGCTGTGACTGTTAGTTTTATCAGTCAACTGAGTGTGTGGAAAAGGGAGCTGAGAATACATTTTTGGGCAGATATTACACATGTGCAGAGTGTGCTGCTAAACACATCTTTCTGGATCAAATGAAAACAGAACTTGAATAGATTAAATGTGCAGGTGTCACAATACATTTGTTACCATAGCTATAGAACAAATTTCTAGTGGATTTTTGTTTTACATTAGAAACATATGCCATGGCAACAGCAATGCCTGTTAAAGATGCAACTCTGTCATTATAATTTATCTATTACAACTCTTTTCATTACTATTATTAACAACTGTTATGCTCCTGAATGTACTTTAGTTTTGAACATGGAATCTCTTGAGATACAAGTGTGAATAAGCTGATTTCCAACTTTACATGAATGCAAAATTTACAGTATTTAGTATGCTCCTGATTTTCTTAATGTGCTCTGTAGTCTTGGAGTCAGATTCAGAAAATAGATACGTGAGTTTGATGAAGCATCTGTAAATTATAACCCTCAAATACTGAAAGTGAGAAATGGTATTCCACAGAGTTCTATATATGTACCACAAGCAACTGTGCTGGGGTGCACCAGTGTGTAAATAAATAGCTGACTGAATTGCAGTCTGCTGCCTAAATGCCAGTTTGGTTCTATATAAACTGGTGATAATAGCAACATGTATCTGTGGCTTTGAGATTATGGCAGAAATGAATTTATTTGTAGTTCCAAATATAAATGTTTTCCATGCAACACAGATATGGCAGTATCACAGCAATTTTCAGAAGTAATCCACTCATATGGGTAAACTGCACGTGCACTTGTAGTAACACTAAAGATCTGTAGAAATTACATCTGTTTATGTTTTGGTATTTAGGATACTGTTTACAAGTAAAAAGATAAGGTGGTAAGAAAAGCATATCTGGTAAGGAAGCAAGATCTCTTTCTGTTGGCTTTTTTTAAGATTACAAAAATAAACGTTCTTGCAAAAAGAAAAAAAAAAATCATAAGCAGAAAACTTCTTTCCATTGGGATTCAATCCAAGAGCTTGAACTTCTCCACCTATTCTGTCTCCCCGGTATCCTCACTCTCTTTCTTAAAGTCCATTCTCAGAAGACTTATTCAGAAGCCCATGAGAAATCAAAACTGGTATCATTAACTTACTGTTCACTGAGTATAGACTTATGCATATCATATTGTTTCTTGCTGCCAGTTAAGTTGGTTGAAACAAATAAAAATAAAGCATCTAATGAAAAGGTTCAAAAGCATATGATAAAGTTAGGGGATAGAACACAATAGGAATGGAGAGTCTGAATTTCTCAGATATATCAGTAGCTTTAAGATTAATTCTAACCACACAAGACATTGATCATCAGTATAGACAATTTAATGAAAGGAATTTTTTCAATGCACAGCAGTATTCAAAAGAAAAAGAATAATTTTGATACGTTTAAAAACAGGCAGAAAATAATACATAAAATATCACATTTTATGCATCACTACTAAGCCTCAGAAGAAATATCGATTTCAGTATCAGTTGTCTTAAAATTCATGGCAGGAATATGCAACAATAAAAAGACGCCAATCTCAGATACCGGTAATTATTAAAAGCTAAGGAAGGATTTTTTTTTTAAGTAAAGTTGCCTATTTTAGCAAGGATACAGAAGAATCATTATATTATCCTGTTTAGAGTTTTTCATACTTTAAGTTCTTGAGATTGACATCTTGGACATTCACATGAGCAATGAAGACGTAGTTGCAGTTTTAGATATGGTGCAGTTTGAAGAGGTTATTTAATATCTCATGCTTCAGGTCTTAGGTCAACAAATACTAACTTGGAATAAGACAGAAAAGCAAATTATTTTATGACTGTCTATTGCATGGATTTTTTTTTCCCTTCTATTATTTCTTTAGAACATTGCAGTGAGTGGTAGGCTACTATACTATTTAAAGCAGTGGTATAGTCCATCTCTGTACTCTTATTATTCTCAGAACATAAAAGTATTAAGCATTAACTGCATTAGGAAACCAAAATAATAATACAAATCTGTATTAAAAGAACATTGGACTTAACAGTTATCAATTCAAAAGTCAAAAGATTCAGAATTATAATTGGATCACTGAAGCGTTGGTTGGAAGGGACGTTTGGAGATCATCTAGTCCATCCTCCTGTTTGGAGCAGGACTGTCATCATCATGAGTTTTCCTAGCCAGGTCTTGAAAACCTCCAAGGATGGAGATGCCACCTCTCTGGATAACCTGTTCTAGGGCTGCAGTGCAGCATGCAATGCTGCTTCCTTCTTAACCTTTATCATGACCACATACTATTTTTTCCTGACAATGCCAGTCTTTTTCATTGCCCAGTATAGATGTGGTTTGCATTGCTCAAAATCATGTGGTGAAGAAGGCATAGCTATGAGATCTTTGCTTCCTTTGTCATATAATTAACAAAGCTCTTTAATAAAGCTAAAGGTATCAAAGAAAAGTTTTATTTAGTAGTATAGATGTAGCAAAGATATTAGTGAAGATGATAAAGATATTAGTGAAATCCTTGCAATCCAGGTGTCTGTAAGCTTTTCTTTTTCCTGATTTATTCTTCTTTCTTACTTTGTCCTGACAAAAACATTTATCTCAACTAAATTCAATAGACAACTGTTAAGACTCATTCCCAGAACAGCAGAATAGAATTCAGTTCATGATTAAGACATCTAAGTGTAGGTATCTGAATGCAAACCAGATGCCATCTCCGATTATAGTCATTGGCAGTCCAGTCAATACAGTTAACAGAGTACAGGGAGTGATTCAGCTGACTAGCCACAACATGTGGCATCACTGTCTAGGATCCACTGACTTTATCAGCCTGATCTCTGACTATGGTGGGAGCTTAAATACTTCTTACCTACATAGATATATAAAATGAGATGTCTTAATCTGGAGCTGAATCCCAGCTACTGAGTTTTTCAGGTAAGGTAAAAACACCAAAGTCAAACATTATTCGCATCATTTATTTTTCACTTTAAGTTCACCTTCAAAATTGCAGACATACAATTAATTCAGCAACTTTCAGAAATCAAAGAAAGTGAGAATGCCCCATGTCCTTCTTTTCCCCTGCTTTTTCCCCCCAAACCAACTTTTCTGGCATTATTGATTCCTTAAGCTGTAACTCCCCACATCCTTTTAGTTGCAAAATGTCTTAAGTGTATATTCTAGTCAGTTGTTTCCCAAAGAAGAAAGGTAGATTTTCTTAGGTTGCACTCCTAATCTTAATTAGAATTTTATCCTGATATTTTAAGAAATGAGAAAAACACATAATTTTACACTTTTAAGCTGCTGACTAGTAAAAGAGCTGATGATGTTTTGAAATACACACCAAAATCTTTCTTCTATCATTCATATAATCAAATATTGCCTCCTTTTAGAAGTGATATTTTGAGATTTGTGGGGTTTTTTTACAAGCAGGTATTTTAGCAAATAGGAGGAAACTGTTCAATTTCTTTGCAAATTATGACATGATGCTATGTTTGATTCCTTCTGGTAGCTAGTGCTGTGCGTACAGTCCTGCAGTAGAGTCTACATATGGACATACAGCTTCTAGCAGGAATGAGATGAATGTATTTATCTTTAATGAAGTAGTTATAGAGATGCAACTGTTAGTGGGGACACAGTTATTCTGAGTAGAATATGCAAAATTAATGCCATGTGGATAGAGTGATGTTATTCACACCAACACTTTAAATGAGGTAGCACAGGTAGAAAAAGGTATCTTTTTTTTTTTCCCTCCTAGTCCTTACAGCAACAGGCATAAAAACAGCTATAAATTTTTAATAATCCGCTCTGAACTGTGCCAAAAAGTGCATTTTTTCTGTAGTTCTTTTTTTTGTGTGTGCTAAATTGCATATAAAACTTGTTTCAAAGACTTGTTTTCCTTTTTTTTTTCCCAATGGTTACTATTACTCTGAATCTATTCTCAAAAGTTCCCAGAAATAAAAACAACACTCAGATCTATTCTTTAGAGACTGTCAGTAAAAGGGCGTCGTAGTGTAAATTCACTATTATTATAATGACTATAAAAAGAAAAATTACTAACGATACTCCTGACAATACTGGTTCTTCATGTGTTTTACTACCTATAAAGTAACTAGCTAATCCATCATACTAAACTGTATAATTTGTACACATTTCAACTCAATAACAAATTAAAAGAGACACCATCAAGTTGATGGAATAGCGATAACATTTTATTTTATAAATTTGTTTTTTCCTGGAATTTATGTGTAGCACTTAGTGGGTTTGGCTGTTTTTCAACCAGTCAGGATAAAATAGTCAAGTTTAAGGAGATAATTAATTTTTGAGAGACTAATAAATCAATGCATGACATAAGTATCTTTTGTTTCTGTACATAAGAAAGAACCAAGCGGCATACAAAAGTCATTTTGCAGAGATTAAGGGTTTTGTTGTTTGCAGTATTTTATCACCCTGGTTTTTTACGAGGTACTCTCTCATTTCAGAGGGAGAAACATCCACTGAAAGTGAACTTCCTGAAGGACACCCCGCTGAACAGTTTGCAGGTTTACTTCATGGATCATCACCTGCATGTGACCCACCTGATAATCCACTGCAGCTGTACAGCAAAGGAAATCAGTGCAGTGGTCCACTAGAGAAAAGCATTTTGAGCAAGAGCACAGTGCAGCAGATACAGCTACGGAAAGAAAGCAACACTGATCCTCCTGTTAAGAAAAAAAAGCCGCCAGTTGTAAACAGAACCATATTTCATACTAAAACTAAACCGGTAGAAAATCATACATTGGTTGGCCCATCAACAAGGATAAGTGAACAATGGGTTATTACTACTGGGGGATTTGTGGAGCGAGCATGCACACTTGGGAGAATACGATCCTTACCAAAGACTTTGCTTGAAATGCATTTGTGCAAAAACGTCTCGAAATCTGATTCTAATCTTATCACCCATCCACCAAATGACAAAAAAGCAAGAAGCAACTGGAGTGAACCCACACCAAACCAACAGTGCTCCAAAGGGAATTCGGAGAGAACACCTTCCTTCACATCAGAATGGGAAGAAGTAAGTTTTGTTAATTTTTAAGTACAAGCAAATATATGGTATTGTGAAAATGCTGTTGTTGTTTTCAGTTTCACAGATTAAATAAAAAGTGAATCTTCCACACTGCAGATCCTCAGAGAGTACGTCATAGTGTAATGCATGGTAGTTTGAGAGCTGGCACAAAATGCAATGCATTTTTGTTCAAAATGCTGCACACTTAATGAAGTCTATTGTTTCCATAGTGAATGAAGTTAGCCAGAAGTAAGTCTACAATTTGTTGTGACGCTGAAATTATTTTTTACTAAAGCCCTCACCACTGACACTAATAAAACTGGTAAAATTCTTTGTAGCTATGCCCATTATTTAAATATTTGCTAATTATTTCCCACCATGGCAATGCCCGCCAGCAAGAGACAAGAGAAAACAGCAGGAATGGAGAGTCTAAGATTTTTAGGTTGATTTTTCATTCTACAAACCCTCCCTATATAACATTTCCTCTAACTGGTATGTAGCCTGTGTACAGAATGCTTGGCATATACCTGACTCTTATGTGAAGTGGGAATACACTTACAGCTACAATGAATTCGGGACTATTAAAAGAAGTGTCCACACTGAGTTTGTAGTGCACATGCTTGCTCATACAAGAGACTTTATTTTAGTTTTAGAACTAGATTTAAAATAATTTTTAGACACCTTATTTTTAATTTTTTTTCCTCCTGTGCTAAATTTCAAGAATGTAAATGATTCTTCATAGACACAAAAGTTCCCGTCTTACTGAGTTAAATTAAAAATGGGAAATGTTTAGAGCTTTACTGCTATTACAGAGAAGCAAGCCTTTCTCTTTAAAATGACTGCTATGGGGAAACGTATATATCTCCAGAGTGCCGTTTTAGTTCAGAAAGAACCCAGAGCTTATTTGTGTGATTGATTATTTTTCTAGAAAAAGGTTTCCAGCTCATCTAAATGTCTGATTTGATAGGGCATCTGAAGGTAGTTTTTGTTGTAAAGGAGATATTTTCTCAGTGGAAATGTACTTAGGATCAGGTTTTCATCTTAATAACTTGGATACATTGTTATGAAATCCTGAAACAAGTCAGGTCCAAGTTTGCCTTTTCAGGGGGACATCAAGGTTTGATTGTTCTTAAAAGTAAGAAAAATGTAGTTTATTAAAAAAAAAAAAAAAGTATGATTTCTAAATCTGCAGATTCTGACATAATTCCCAGATTTTCTCCTGTCACCAGTGACTAATACATAGTTTTTAAAGAGGAGACAGTTTTCCTAATAGTCCTAATATTAAGCTCAGTAAAACCTGGTTCTCTGTGTCTGACTTCTTAGACAACACCAGCCTTTTGATTCACTTTTAGTTTTGTCCTGTTCTTATGGAAAATAAAATAAGTATAATAGTTTTGACATAGTAAGTTCAATGTAATTTAGAAATGTGCAAATGAGTTTTGGGATCAACGTAGTGCTGTTTCATAAACAATATCATTCTGCGGTACGTGGGGACACAGCTATGTTTCATACCTATTCAGTGGCCTTGGGGCAGATAGAAAAAAGGGAGCTAGGAAATTCTCTGGAAATATTAATTGAACAATTGCTTTAGTACTTTATAACACTCAAAACAATATTCTTATACATTAATATTACTGCTTAAATAGCCCTCTAGTGGTTCACAGTTACCATCAAATGAAACAAGCCTATAAAATTAAAATCCATTCCATCTTTAATATATGCATTTTTCTCCTTTGTATTTATATACTGAAATATGACAAAAGTAGTTTCAAAGAATGAGATGTACCTAGATGACCAGAGTTGTCAGTATGAAAGGAACTGTACTGTAGAAAAAGAAATACTAGTCTCAAGCTTTAGCTTTTGCTAGCATACAAATGTTGCAAAATAAAAATCAAAGTGGAGAAATCAGTTGTCTACCTTTGATTTTTGCATTTTGCAATCTTGATTGTTGTTTTCCTAATGAGAGTAATAATGCCATAAATTTATGCATGAAAAATGAAAATAAAATAACAAAGATGAGGCCCATAAATTGTTTTCACTGTTCTCTCTTTTGTAGATTGATAAAATCATGAGTTCAATAGATGCTGGAATTAATACTGGACTGGGGGAGATGAATGATCACACTACAAGTAAGGAAAACCAACTAACTATTGTTTAATTTTGACTTAACTATCTATAGGGAAACTGTGGATAAGAGATTGCTAAGTAACCCACTGTGTTGAAATCATTTGTAGGTATTTGAATAACCATGAACAGAATCAATGTTGTTTACTGTTAGAAATGCATTAGGCCCAGTATCCCGGAGCTGTTACTTTAAATAGCATATCGGAGTCATTAATGTTGTTTTGAAATCTTACCAGAAAAAATATTCTATTAATGTTAATGTCTTCATGTTGAAGCTTTTCTGCTAGGGGGATATTTTCCAACTTTTTTCAGCTGAGTTTTTGTTTGGAATGATGGGACCCTGAGTATATATAATCCAATAGCTGCTGACACTTTTTAAAGCATTATATTATCTAATGCTGCTTCAAACAAGTATTTGGCACAGGGCTGAAGATGTTGCTGACAGCCAGTGACTGGTGTTAGCAATGACGGGAAAATTTGCAAACCTTCCCTACCATGGTGAATTCTAAGAACTCTAAGTCACAAGTAGCCTGTTGATGTGTCAGCATAAACCTATGCAACTGTGCTGATAAGAATTTTGAAAGTATTTTACTATGTCTTTGTCCTAACTCATGGAAAGAAAACTGACTTGTATGTCTGAATAATTTGGTCTTGAGGCAAAGCTATGTTAACTCACCCGTACTGGTACATCCCTGCTGGCAATTGCATGCAATTACTTGGGTTTATGTATTGGGCAGGAGACTAGGTACCTTATCACTTAAAATTGAAAAAAAAAAAGTATTTTAACAACCGCCCATTTCATGGAGCATTATACCTGTACAGGACAAAACTGTGTCTTATGAAATAAATAGAGTTGGCACAGCTATTTTAACAGTTGCTGGACAGTGAGAAGGGAATCAAGGAAAAAGAGAATATAACTGATTTGAATACAAATGTAATTGCAGATAAAACAAGCAGATTCAGATTATTGTTTTTCTAAAAAAGTAAGGGGCAATATCATGAAAAGTGCTAGGCATGTTGTCCTGGCAGGCTATTTTTTCTTTCTGAAACTTGCAGTGTTGGAAGGGAGAATTATTCATAGAGAAACTCTAGGTTAGGAGGCAGTTAATAATAAAGATATTATAAGTAATTCAGGATTTGCTGCTTATTATTTTTTATCATGGTAGTATATAGGCACCAAATGCAAAATCAGGTGTCCATTAAGAAGTTGCACAGCAAGTAAGAGCTATGAAAAGGAGACAAAAGCAACAGTATGCATATGCAAATTTGCATAACTTAGTGATGTGTAAGTACTAGTCTGTGCCTTCCTATGGCTGACCACTGCTTTTCTTTTTCTACTTTTTTCTTTTAAGATCAGGAAATATCTCAGAACTCTTGCCATCAGCCATTTTGTGGCTTCTACTGCATGCATCATTTTTCTTGGCATTCAAATGTGGCATTTGGTTCTTCAGCTCTTTCAGTTGGCAGGAGATCTGTTCTTTTCTTCGCTTCATCTTTTCCCAGAGGGGACTCTGAGTCCCAACTTTTTTCTATTCGGTGTGCAGCTTCCTGCAAACCAACATTTTTTCTTTTCTGTCAACTCCTTAATGGTCTTTAGCTAGTTTAGAACGATAATCTGATTTTGCTCTTAATGAAGAAATCAAGCTATGTACTATTAATCAAAATACTACTACTTTTCTTTAAATTTAATCAATTTTGCTGTACATGCAGACTGCAATAAAGACATTTCTTTCTGTTATAGAGCTGGCTATATGCAGCTTCACATGTATGTTTTCCGCTTTTCATTCCTTTATGCCTTTTCCTGGTTCAGTCAAACACAGTTTAGGCAGCAAAGCAACGGGAACTATTATAATATCAAATGCATTAAATGCATTATGTCAAACATGTTATACTTCAAATATATTCTTATTTTTTTTATTAACAATGTAATAGGGTTATCTAGCAGAAAATAAGGAGTCTTTATTTCTCACCATTAGCAGACTGGAGTAACCATCAAGTGGAGCCTTATTACATTGATATTTATATATTTAACAACAGATTTTACTTGACTTAAGATTTTAGCTTGTGTTAATTACCACTTATTAACTACCACAAGGCAATACACAGGTTTTTCTTACTGATAATACAACCTGAAAGATTTTTTGTTACGTCTCTGGCCCCAGTGAAGGGGTTGCTTTGAAGTTTTCTGCAGCAAATCAGCTTTTTTTGTGTGTGCTGCTACTATTTAAGCTCCTATAGTTTATTGGCAAGAAGCATCTCAGGTGCCCCAGTGTTCCTCAGAAGTGCCTCACATAGCCCCTGTCTAATTACTTACAGATGCTGGCATTGTCTGGATCCCTGTGTGTTTTACTTAGGGTTTTATCTGCCCAAGTGTTGTAGTACTGAGGACCTAAATTCCATCTCAGAACTTCTCATTCACCTTCTCTCTTCTCCTTCCTGGCTCTGTGCTAAACTTAACACAGCCAAATGTAAAGATCTGACCTATGCTTAGGAAAAAACATTGTATGGTATCAGGTAATATAAGTTTGAAATACTTCATCAGTTTATATATAAATACATGAGTTTTATTAGTTTTACTTGAATGTATTTGCGTCCAGCTCTGGAGCCCTCAGCACAAGGAAAGACATGGACCTGTTGGAGCGGGTCCAGAGGAGGGTCACAAAAATGATCAGGGGGATGGAACACCTCTCCTATGAGGAAAGGCTGAGAGACTTGGGGTTGTTCAGCCTAGAGAAGAGAAGGCTCCAGGGAGACCTTATTGTGGCCTTTCAATACTTAAAGGGGGCCTATAAGAAAGATGGGGACAAACATTTTAGCAGGGCCTGTTGCGACAGGGCAAGGGGGAATGGTTTTAAACTAAAGGGGGGTAGATTTAGCTGGAAACGTTCAGGGTCAGGCTGGACAGGGCTCTGAGCAACCTGATCTAGTTGAAGATGTCCCTGCCCACGGCAGGGGGGTTGGACTAGATGACCTTCAGAGGTCCCTTCCAACCCAAACTATTCTATGATTCTGTACATGTAAAAAAGATTATCCAGCAGAGATTAAAAATAATGTATTTAACATTCAGAGTGTACAAGTCAAAGAGATTTCTCATAGTGTTGAACTGAAAGCATTTAGATTATTGAGCACTATATTCAGGAAACTTAACTTTTCTTGTCTTGTAACTTTTTAGCAAACAGTAAAATTTCTGATAATACTGAAGAGCAAATGTAGCTTGATGTGGAATCCTTCATTTTAGTATTTACTTTGTCCTATACTTCGTATTATACTTCAGTGTTTTTATGAACTGTTAGTAGAAACAAAAATATATTAAATTCAAGCACAAATATTCTTAATCTACCAGGCATGAAGAGCTTTATATACTACATAGGATCTTATTCTCAGTGAAAAATATTTGACAGGAAATATGTCATACACTGATAATTCAATAGCTATATTTAAAATTAGACAATGATGACATCTTGTGATGAAATCCTTGACTGGATTTACAGGAACTTTGGCCTATATTTTCCTACTGGTGAAATCTGGAAAGACTTCTGTTAGATCTCCAGGGGAATCTCTTAAGAAGCAATTAAAGGAGCAGTGAAAGGAGAGAATCGAAACTGGCTGAGTAGTGTCATGTGGACTTTATCTACAGCATGCATTTGGAAACAAATTAAAGCGGAGCTTTCAGTTTGGAAGCAGTACTGGTACTGGAGGAGTAAACTTGAAACTACAGAGAGGAAGATAGCTGCCGATGTCCTCTGAGGGCATGTGGCATTCAACATCTGAATAGCTTACCACTGAAATCAAAAGCAGGAGTGCTGACCAAGGAGCAAGTAAGAATTAATCTCAATGATAACGGACAAAAAAACCACTACCCCAAGGAGTACAATACCTCTATTACAAAGAGGAAATACAAGATGGTGCTGGCTAGTGATCTTCTACTCAAGGTGATGTGGAGACATCTGCACCACCTGGCACATATTATGGCTGGCGTGTTTCTTCACAAGAGTCCAAATTTGCCAAGTTGCAGGGGATTCTACCAATCACTAGCATATGATAAAGAATACTAATGACATTGCCAAGAATGATCCTAAGCAAATCAAAAGTGCTTATAAGGCTCTGTGGCAATGGATAAAGAGGTTGAAGATTCAAGAGATAATATTGTCTCTCCTCTCATGTCCAAGTCAAGCATCAGTCAGATACACCCTAGATATAACTACATGGCTTTTATTCTGAGAGAAGAGAACTTTAAATTAAGAACCATGTGGCAAGGACAAAAATCTTCATCTTAAACAATGCAGATTGGACATAGGTCTAGCCCCTGAGAGAGATAGGATTATTTAAAACAGGATTAAAGAAGTGACTAGACAAAGAGTCATGCATCAGTTTGCCAGGTATCTTAGCTGTTTGTATACTAATGGTAGAAGAAAGAGGAACAGAGAAGAATTAACAGAAGAATTAATGAGGAATAGAGAAGAATAAAGTGAAGATTATGACAAAATTGGCATTGTTGATAATTTATCATATACATTACACTAGTAGTCCAGTCATGTAGAGAATATAACTTCTTCAGTAAGAAGGGAAGAAGAGAAGAAATGTTGGCTTGTATTTCAAGAATATGACGGTTGCTTTGAGATCTCAAAAATAGGATTAGTTAGAGCTGCTAAATATCTGTTGGTACCCAGGAAAGTAGAAAAGAACATGGTTGTTCTTGGTACGTATCCAAAGCCATTGGACTTGATAGTAACAGGAGATTTCAGTTACCACACACTTGTTGGGAATGAAATTACATTTTTGGAAAAAAAGTCTCAAGAAGGTAGATATCAATAAACTCAGAGAATTTATTTTAAAAAATCTCTAGGGTGGAGGTTAAAGAGAAATCTGTGGGTACTTCAACAAAACACTACTAAAGACCATAGTACAAGCTTCACCAAAGTGAAGAAAAGAAAGTATAAAAGACCAGCTTCGCTAAATTGTCATCTTTTCTTTCACCTTAGACATAATGAGGAAAATTTCTCTA